ACTGGGGAACAGCTTTTACTGCAGCTTCAATTTCTTCATTTGTTCTTAGCCTTGGGCGTCCAGAATTCCCTAATACAGTTTCCCCTTAACATTTAATGCTTGTATAAATTCATATATTTCGTAAAAGTATCATATTATAGAGAACTTACCCTTGATATTCGACGCAACCACAGCAACGCCGCCATTGCTCCTCTGTGAGAGGCGTCCAAGGTCCCACAAGCGCTTGACCGTCCGTGGATGGCAATGAAACTGCTCAGCTATACTCGTTAGTACACCGTACGGAAGCTCGCCGCCAACCGAGCACTCCAGAAGCTTGGCGTACATTGCGCAGCGTTGGTCGGGATTCAAGTTCTCCTGGGTTTTCTTGGATCGTTCAGGTATCGGGACGACCGGGGCCTTTGTGCGAGGCATGTCCTGATGAGTACTGATAGGCTAGATAAGTTTTGGAGGCGTTAAATGGAGCAATGAATCCTCACCGTAAGATTCCAATGGTGGTCAACCGACAATGGCTTCTTTGAGGGAGCATAAAATTTGAAGCAAAATGTTTCAGAAAGCGCTGAAACTAGCCAATCAAAGATGAGATCTTGCGCTTTCTGGTGCACCAATCAGCGGCACAGAACGCTCAAAATTAGAAAAATCCCGCCAATCACAAAACAAGTGGACAGTCATACGAGAACAGAGTAGTACTAATGTTAGTAATAAGAACACGTGAAATCTAAACTACTCTTCTCATTAAAGTAGCTTTTTAAGCTCGCGTTTGTAAGGGTCAAAAATTGTCTTTTTTTGTTAACTATGGTGAAATTTCAAATGACGTCGTTTTAAAAATCAAATCTGATTAGCTTGATGCGAACTTTTCTACTTTTGGCCCAGATTCCCATACTTACACCTTTCAAATGCCCTTGGACATTTTGGATCAGAAATCGCCGAATTTAATGACGTGTTTTCAAAAGTGACGACCAAAGAGTCAAGGTTGTCATGTATGAAGGAAAAGGGTTAGTAGACAATATTTCAACAAACGGCGACGAGGTTGTGGAAGTGACGCAGTCATGGTGTCATTTCCAATACGAATGTCAAGTCATTTGGTCGTGTAGGAAGAACGGCACTCCCACTTAATTGTTATACTGAAACCAAGTAGAAATGTCCACTGGCCTGCCATGTGTTTGTTTCGAAACGCTTCTTTCACACACTGTGCGGTATGAGTACTGTATACATACAAGTAACCCGATATATTTCGTCCAGAGCAGTCAGAAAACTCAGTTTTCAACAGGAAAACACAATAACTAAGACGCAACTATTCTATTCGGTTAAATATTGTTGTTGTGACATGTGATCGAAGGAGTACGAAATTCTCTATCATCATGATATCTCACCTATTACATTTCACTAACCAGCCATATTATGTCCCGTGTAGTCAGATAACACTACTTTCAATACGCAAATAATGTCGTACTGCGTATAACGTGAATCTGCGTCCATGGTATCCTTGCTCGGATAATCAACCATAACTATCAGCATGCTGTTAGTCGGGAATTGAAATCAAATGTCAAAGGTCTATCTGACACTGATGTCGTTTGATTAGGCAAGAATGAATTGAAAGCTAAGGTTACGGCCAAGCCAGCGAGCGTAAATTTGAATGTGATGGAATCTACCCCGATGGAGCCGAATAGCATATCCCAATCAGGAGCGACTATGGAACACACCAAAGTGTCGACCAAAGGAAAGGCCAAGAACAAGTCGACAAAGGAGAATGCGAAGTTGAAGGCACCACTCCAGATCACCGCGACAGCAATTGCAGAACACTACCGCAGACGGTGAACAATCTCTGCCCGATGCGGGGAGCGTAGCCCAGCTCGAGTTGTTGCAACGAATTAAGTTTGCGTTTCCAAGCGATTCGGACAACGAAACCAAGGATGACCTGGATGTGACCAACCAGCTTATCCAGATCTATATTTCTATGTATAGGATGGGTGGGGTTGAAACGTATTCACGCCGTTCCGTACCACAAGCGCAACCCACGGCTGATATGGTGTTGCATCAAACACCAAAGCGTTTGGCCTCGGGGCTGGAGTCCGGGACTACGTAGGCTAGGAAGGTGGTCGCACGCGGCTACTAGTTCCTGGGAAAACGAAGGAATGCCCGCACTGCCGAGCAAAGTTGACACCCCACGACTACAAGAACCTGCCCTGTTGTTTGAAGGGCAAGGTCAAGATGGATCCTTACGTTTTCCCCGACTCGCCAGAAATGCAAGCGTTCAAAGATCTCTTCAAGCAGCGCAATTTGATCGAGCACATTCGTCAGTACAACGCTCAGTTTAACTTCACTTCCATTGGAACCGACGAGGTCAGGTACAGCGGCAGAGGTCCCAATACGTATTGCATTCAACGCCAGCTGACCCACAACATTGGTCCATTGCAACCCAGCCTGAACAGAAGCGGAAACCTGCGGCAACCAAGTTTTGCCCAAATCTACATGCACACCAGCGAGGAGCAACTTCTACACCGACGAAACATGTTTCCGGCGATCAGTTCGCGGTACACTGCCACGGTACAGCGAGTGATGGATCTCCACAACCCATTGGCCAGCGCGTATGCAACTACCAAAGAACGTTTGCGTCGAGCGGAAGCGGACGGGACATCGGGGGGCAATCTTCATATTGTCCTGAAGGCTGTTGGTGGCGCGCAGGCTCGAACACACAACTTGCCCACCGTGGCTCAGCTTGCGGTTATCATGGAGGGAGACGGCAGCGAACCGACAGATGGTCGTCACGTGGTTCTCCAAAGTCTGAACTCGAACCGGTTCGCAACCATTTGAGAAACGAATCCACTTCACGACGCGTTGCAGTTTCCTCTCCTTTTTCCAATGGGAGGTCTTGGATGGGAGTACATCATGACGAAGACTAATGTAGAGATCATTGTCCCTCCGTGCGGTTTTCAACTACTGGCTTCAAGAACGAGACGGCGGCGACTTCTCCGACATGCTGCACCGATCCCCCATGCTGTTGAAGATGTACACTACGGTCGGCTTCGTTCTTCGCATGGAAACCAACAGGCTGCGCTACATTTTGCAGAACGGAGACAAGTTGCGATTCGATTTGTACACAAGAGTAAAGCAGGCCGCCGAGAGACGTTCAGGGCTCCACAACGTCGGCATCAAGTCCATCGTGCCTTCAAGCTTTACTGGCGGCAAACGTTACATGAAGAAATGCTACTTCAACGCCACGGCAATTGTGCGCAAGTACGGGAAGCCATATCTCTTCGTCACCATGACGTGCAACCCCAATTGGCTGGAGATCATCAGTCAACTCAAGCCCCATCAAACGTCAGCTGAACGCGATGACATTGTCACATGTGTGTTTGAGACGAAGCTAACGTATTTCGAGGACGACATTCACAAGAAACACGTCCTTGGCAAGGTTGTCGCATCCGTGCATGTTGAAGAGTATCAAAAGCGTGGCTTGCCGCATGTGCACATGCTCCTCACCATGGAAGACTAAGACAAGTTCAGGACCGTCGAAGACATCAACTCTGTGGTATTCGCGCGCATCCCAGACGAGATCAAGAACCCCCAGCTACACGAGTCAGCGAAGAACTTCATGATCCATACGTGCACGCATGTGCAATACGACGACAATGGACAGCCGATTCCAAGTGCGAGGGCTTGCACCCACAAGACTGGCAAGTGCAAGAAAGGCTTTCCCCAGCCCCTGCAAGCTACCACAACCGAAAGGGTCGATGGGTATGCCAAGTACCGTCGCGACACGGCCGCAGACCAGTATTGTGTGCCACACAGCCCGTACTTGGTGCACAAGTACAACTGCCACATCAACGTCGAGATTTGCACAAGCATCAAGGCCGTCAAGTATCTGTACAAGTACGTGTACAAGGGCAGCGATCGTATCAAGTACGCTGTCTTCACCGACCAGGAACGCCAGCCCATGCTTGACGAAGCACGGGAGTACGTTGAAGGACGCTACGTGACCTCCCTCGAAGCTATCACACGCACCCGCTGCTACGACCTGCAAAGGATGTCCCACGCTGTCGAAGTATTGCCCGTGCACGAGAAAGATCAACAGCATTGCACCTACGACGAAACCCACGACGCAAAATCGGTCGTTGCCAGGAACCAAAAGACCAAGTTGATCTCCTTCTTCCTCGCTTGTGTGCAAGGCTTGACCGGGATCGACGGGCGTTCCTGCAAAGAACTCCCTGTACTTGGACTTCCCGCAGTACTTCCGATTTGACCAAAAGACCAAGTTGTGGGTTAGACGCAAGAACCACATCAAGGTCATTGGCCGCATTGATTCGGTCAGTCCGCGTCAAAAGGAGCGGTTCTACATTCGAACCCTGCTTTGCCATAAGTATGGACCAACTTCCTTCGAAGATCTGCGCACAGTTCACGGAACTCTGTATTCAACGTACGAAGAAGCTGCACTGTCCATGGGCCTGTTGGAAAACGACGAAGTGTATGTGGTATGTATTCGACAAGCCACGTTGGACTGCATGGACGGACAGCTGCACGAACTGTTTGCCAACATCTTGGTGCATTGCCTTCCAGCGAACACGCGAGCTCTGTTTGATCAATTCAAATCAGATTTCCTGGACAAGCAGCTTCGGGACCTGCGCCGCTGCAACGAAGCACTCCCACAGCCGCTCAGTGACGACATGATGCTTGGCAAGGCGATGTTCTACACACTCAAGAGCATCGACAACTGCTTCCAACACCATCGGATGAGCCTTTTGGACTACCCGACGTTACCTCAACTTCACGAATTCGAAGTATTCGGAGACTTGGGCGAACGGCAACTACTGAACGATCTAAGAAGTTGGCTTTATGTCATTGAAACGTCGTACACGCGTGCAGCCCTCGACGACGTGTTGGCCACTGCTGCGACCATGACTGACGAGCACAGGTCCTTTGTGGCCACCGTTTTGGCCCAAACATACGACCACGCATCAGGCAAGGCGTACTTCCTCCAAGGCGAAGGAGGCTCAGGAAAGTCGTACGTCTCTCAAATCCTGTTGGCAAAAGTGCGCGACAAAGGGGACATCGCGCTTGCTGTGGCATCGTTTGGGCTGGTAGCTTTGCTGCTTATGGGCGGCACAACGGCACATTCGCGATTCAAAATCCCCGTCACCAACCTCAACGACAAGTCCCTATGCCATATTCCAAAGCAGTCGTCATTGGCAAAGATCATTCGAGACACCAAGCTCATTGTATGGGACGAGGTCTCAATGATGCATCCACAAGCATGCCTTGGAGGCCGTCGACCGTTCCCTTCGCGACATCATGGACAACCCCACAGCCCTCTTTGGTGACAAGGTTGTTGTTTTCTCGGGCGATTTCAAGCCAATCCTGCCAATCATTCTACGCGGCACACCATCGGCCACTGTGGAGGCCTCCTTCAGACGCAGCAGCATTTGGAACGACGTGAAAATTGTCAAGCTAGCAAAGAACATGCGGCTGCGTGGTGGATCAGACGACGGAAGTATCGAGGAATGGGCCAAGACGTTGGTTGACATTGGAAACGGAACGTATCCAGAACAAGCCATCTCGGCTCTCCCATGATCCGACTGCCGGATGCCATTGCCAGGAACTGGGAAACCGACCACGACCTGAACGCGTACATCGACCAAATCTATGGCAACATCAATAACCCGGCCAACCCCCCGGAAGTACATGTCTGAACGAGCGATTTTGGCACCCAAGAACGTTGGGGTCGATGAATACAACGCCAAAGTGCTGCGCAAGATGAACAGTTCTGCCATGTTCACTTGCCTCTCAGTCGATTCAGTCGAGCAAGAAGGCGAGGATGTTGACGACACGGCCATGGAATTTCAAGTTCCTGAATTCCATCAACATATCCGGCTTGCCACCGCACAAGCTCGAGTTCAAGGTGGGATGTCCAGTCATGCTTTTGCGCAATAGTTGCCCCTCCCAGGGCCTATGCAATGGGACAAGATTGCGGGTTGTCAAAGTGTCAACCAAATGCATCGAGGCAACTATCATGGGCGGCGCATTTGACAACAAGGAGTCTTCGTACCGCGCATCACCTTGGTCGACGAGGGAGCCAATCCAACCTCCCTTTCAAGTTGAAGCGACGCCAGTTTCCAGTGAAGTTGGCATTTGCTATGACCATCAACAAGTCTCAGGGCCAAACGTTAAGTCGCGTGGGACTTATCTTGCCAAGTGCAATAAACGATTCTGCATCATACGTACCATGCCGTATTTCCCCTATCGTATCATCAACCATCATAGCAAATATAGGAAACCCAAGCTATTTTCAATAGACGGACGTGTTGTTCGTCACGTTGTTCAACACAAATACTGTATGTACAGATCCGAAACCCTTGCTGTACTCAACGAAGCAAATCATCCTGCACATCAAGTTTCTACGGCATTGTTTTTCCTCACACAACACGGACACGCGATAGTTCGAAAACACTGCTACTTGAATGACGAACTCCTTCCGAAGTGTATACGTAAGTACTGTTCACCACATCCAACACAGTGGTCGTGCCTGCAAGATGGGTTGACTGTACTCTGACCAACATATCACGAGGCAATCTGCGGAGCTATTGGAGTGACCGCGAGATGGCGCCGACTGTGTTCTGACCAACATGTCACGAGATAATTAGCGATGCGATTGAACATACCCACAAAGTGGCACCGACATGCATTCTGACATACACGTCGTGTGTCAAACGGCGGCGCTATTGGATGTTGCAGAGAGGTGGACCTAACTGCTTTCAAATCAACACGCCACGCGTCAACGATCACAGCGTTGGTGAGTTTAGATGCACGGCTTAGTCTTAGCATAGCTGCAAGGTTTCTACCGCAGCCTATACTATTTCAGTGGACCACACCGCAAAAGGACTGATTCCCATCTTCTCGCAAAATACCGGACCCCGTTGTACCGCAGATAGGAGAGTATTGAAAATGTCTGAAAACTTTGCCAGGCTTAACTATGACAACAATAGTAAGCAGCAACAAAAGCTACATATCTTGGTCCAACCGGCAATTAACAACGGCGGCCGAGCAACGGGCTCACCTAGTGATTTCGTAACTCAGGGAATTACTGCACTTGTCCAAGCTGCTGCTTGATGTACTGCCTCTGTCCGTGAATAAGTTCAAGAAAATTGAAGTTCGAGAAAAAGTGCACATTTAGTACTACTGTGCAATATATACTTTATTTGTTCATCCGTTCTGATATTGATGAATTCTGAGAGTTAATCCGTTCGGTAAGTACAAATGCGACGTTTCTCCGTTCGGTAAGTACACGATTGTACTTCGAAGTATTAATTTAAATCCACGTAGCTACCGGTACAGTACGTACTTTAGCTACGTCACGAAGATTCGATATCCTTAGGGTACAAAGTTCTAAATAGTACTACTACAACGTAGTACCAGTAACAGCTACAACGTAGTACATGCTATATGGCACAACAGTAAAACAGTAATCTACTAGTAGCTACTAGTAGAATGACATAGCTGCATTCTTCATGTACTCCAAGGGGATAGCGATGAAGCATTTGATGGAGTGTTCTAAGAGAGAAGCTGGTCGTGCTACTGCGAGGTATCATTGATGTCGTTGTACTGTACATACCGGGTAATTTTCTAGGGCAGTTGGAGCAGATCTGTAATTACACCTCAGCTACGTTCCTCCTCGGTAGTTCAGCTGACGACATACGTAATCGGCCGTCCCAGTTACCACCACTGTCAAGCCAGTGGTCACCTCGACCACAACGAAGACAGTGGAGACGAAGACTACGGGCGGTGTGACGACTGCGATAAGTCCTTGGTAACATCGACTACACAGCCAGTTTAGCTACGTGGTGGACAAGTTAGGGATACGATAACGTTACTCCACTGTAAAAGTAATAATAGTTACCTCCCGGTTATTAGCTACAATCAGGGTGATGCATTGTTACATCAAGAAAGCTCCATCATTTTAATGTGGGATTAATCGTCAAAACCTTGCAAATGGCCCTCTCTATTGAGCTATTCTGACATGAGATCCATACATTCTAGCTACAAATATGCTGTGAGTATCTAATTTTGTACTGATGGAGTTTGAACATTTTCTTTAAATATAAGCAGTGAGCAAGTTTCAGTTAATATAGAATACAAGAGGTGCACCACCGGTCAACGGCCGAAACGGCACGCGACTGGGCCACGATGGAAAAAGGAGCAAACCGTGTAGTAACCGATTATGATTGGGGTACAACGAGGAAGCCTTGCCCTCAGCGGCGCTTGCACCTTGTTCTGCAGCGTGCAGAGCAATGTGTGTACTGTGTCAATACCTAAGTGCAGGTACTGAGTACTTTAGTGACTGGTAGTCAGTAGGCGCCTCGTGGCGTGTTTAACCTCACTAATGTCAGTGTTATATTTGTATATTTGCTACCTTGACGAAGGTCCGGTGGCCGAAAGCCAGGAAGAAGCGGGAGACAAAGCAAAGATATGTTTAGTTCATTGTTGAGCTATTCACTGGAGATTTTACAAGAACATTCCTCCGACGAGGAAACGCCAACGAACGCCGAAGAACGAGCACGGTCGCGACACTCGGCGCACCGTTGAGACCCGTTCAGATCTCCCCGACGACGACAGCCACCTGCTGTCGACGAGTGGCAACCGCCACGTGGTGGGTTTTACACCCCTGCCTAACACCAGCTGTCGCAGCGTTTGTCTCAGCTACTGCTCCATCAACGACTGAAGTAGATGGCGCTTCAGTGCCGTTGCCAGCCGACTACGACCCTTCGGATGTCCGTGACGATATGGACATGGGCAGCGTTGGCGGTTACGGCCATACGGCACCACAAGTTTGGAACTCGCCAGCGATCCCGCAGCCACCGACATTTTCGATCTCAACCAAGGCCGAAAGACGCGCTTTTATGCGCGAGTACCAGAAGTAACTGGGGCAGATCAACGCTCTGTAGTACAATGGGTCGCTTCCGTTCGCGATGCCTGTGAGTGCCTGCATGGACCTGTGCTCGAAGCGCCCGATCGCACTGTTCGATTTCAACCGCGACCACCATTCCATCACGAACGCTGAGTGGGTCGCGTGGTTCAAGTCAGCGTTTGAGGAAGACACTCAAGACCTGGATGTTTTGAAGCAACGTCTGCAGCGAACGATTCGTTTCGATACGAAGATCTTGGACGCGGAGTCCCGCGTCGGTCGTATGCTTGACGAGCTGGTGCGCTCGTTGGAACAAGACCATCTGGAGTGGGTACTCCATCAAGAAGGCAAGATGGTTGTCGAAGTGATGACGAAATCGATCAAGCCAGAATCGCTGAAGACAGCAGCTCAAAAGCAGCGGCAGTTGTAGCGGAACAAGGCGTTGAAGAGCGACGTCTTTCGTTACGTCAACTGGCTGTGAACATTTGCAGCTGGCCACCAGCTGCAAATATTCAATACCGGCATTTTGATCACCTTGGTCGACAGGTCTTCAGTTCAATAACCCACATTGTTGACATTATTCCAGGGACTTCAAACCGTAGATGGAACGTACGTCGACGACGAGTCCAAACCTTCCCCTGCAGCGAAGCCGCTAGAAGCTCCGCGAAGACGCCGCCAAGAACAATGGCAGAGTCGGCGGCAAGGCCGAAGCGATCGTGCCCAGGACCGCCGAGCCATCTGCCAAGAAGGGCTGCTTGAAGTGCGGTGACATGGGTCACCGTGTGGCGCGGTGCCCGAAGACCGCACCTGGCGAAGACGAAACGTTGCAGGATGGCATTAAGGTGCTGGTCAACCAGCCGCAGCGCCAGAAGACAGAGCGCGGCTTGCTGTTGGAAAACATCGTCCGCGTGGACGATGCGCTCTTGTACTCTGGTTCGGACGTGACCGTTGTCACGCGTGGCGTCCTGGATGCGTTGGACGCAGCCGGTGTCGAAGTTGGAATTGTGTGCCATAGTGTGCCGCATTTGGCGTACCCGTATGGCAGTGACGCCAAGCCAGTTGTGATTACGCGCAGCGTCAAGTTCAACTGCGTGACGCTGGACATGACGTGTGGACCGCTTGTGTTGCGCGGTCTGAAGGCCTGGGTCGACGACGCGTCGACTGCAACCAAACTCATCGTGAGTCGCCCAGTCATGGAGTTACTGGGCTTAAAAGTTGAAGACCTCCTTGTCGGAGCAAGGAAGAAGAAGGAAGAATACAACGTTTCGTCCGTGCTGACAAACGAACTGTCTGGTATGGCGAATATCAAGCGCCTGATGGCAGAGAAGTTGAATCCATCAGAGCTTGACCCCGACGACGGGATAGAGTGTGCTACTCCGGAGGTTTACCCCAAAACCTCCGTCGAGGACGAAGCCGAGCGCCGCCGCACGAAGCAGGGCGCCGTTTAAGCCATTCTGACGGCCAAGGTGGCTGAAGCGAAGACTCGCGGGCTTGCGACCGCTGAAGCGACGCAGCTATACGACTTACTCACCAAACACATGGATGTGTTCCGTGAAGACATGGGCGACGATCCGCCAGTCAAGGTCGAGCCATTGAAGGTTCGGATCAAACCCGGCGCGATGCCGATGAAGTGGGGGGGTGGGATGCGGCGGTACCCGCCGCTGTAGGTGGAATACATGCGCAGTCATGTGGCTGCCCTGGAAGCGAATGGTATGGTATACCAAAACAACCGGGCTACTTGGGCCACAGCCCCAAGAATCGCGCCGGAGAAGGAAGTCGGCGATTTGCGCATGACGATCGACAGCAGGCCGATCAACGTCTGCACGGAGCCGATGCCTTGGTCGATGCCAAACCTGGACAGCGCGATGGTCTGTCTGGTCGGGACGAACGTGTACATAACGTTGGACTGGACCAAGGGGTACTTGCAGTTGCCGCTGCATGCGGAGAGCCAGATGTACTTTTCGTTCATGACGCCCTACGGCGTGTACAGCCCGACCCGTGTGCTCATGGGACAGACGGACGCTGTCGCGTACTGCCAGTCGGTTGTCCACCAAATGTTTGGTGAACTGCTGTTCCGAGGCCTGTTGGCCTGGCTGAACAGCTCGTCCGTTGACTTGGGTCCGCCAAGACAAAGGACGAGCTGTTCAAACTTGTTGGACCAAGTCTTGACCATTTGCGCCCAGTTCGGAGTCCTAAGAAGTGTCATTTCTTTCTGCGTGAGGCAGAATGGTGTGGCAAGGTGATTTCGGCCGATGGAATCACCCATTTCCCAAGCCGAATTCAAGGACTCGTGGATTTGTCCAACAGTTTGTGTTTGCCACCAACTCGATGATCCTTGTTACAATCAGCTGATGGATCCGTTGCGACGTCTGCTTGACGTGGCCACCAAGGCAACCGGAAGCTGCAAGAAAACGGCGTTAGTGCGTGTCGCACTCCCTGCCGTGGGATGGTAGTCCGATCATCTGAAGTGTTTCAACGAGGTGAAACACGCGCTGGCGCATGTGGTGCCCCTGTCGCACACACAAGAAGGCATGACGGTCTGCATCTTCACGGACGCCAGTGACCTGTTTTGGGGTGCGGTTGCCACACAATACCGCCACGGATATCGACCTGCCTCTCGAAGTCCAGCCGCACCAGCCGCTTGCGTTCATCAGTGGGTCGTTTTCTGGCGCGAGTGCGCTCTGGCCCATTGTTGAGAGAGCCTATGCCGTGGTCGAGTCGTGCAAGAGACTGGACTACCTGGTCGTACGCCCGGGTGGTTTCCGTCTGTTTACGGATTACAGTAACCTGGTGTACATTTTCAATCCAAGTGGTTCGAACGCCAACACGGCCAAGTTCCAGGCCGACAAGCTGTAGCGATGGTCGACCTTCCCGTACATCATTAAGTGCGTCTCGGGTGACGCGAATGTATGAGGCGACCACCTGAGCCGATGGGGTTCGGTTCCGACGGATCAACCAGTTGCAACTATTCGCAAGTTGATCTATGTGGTGTCGCCTCTGCAACAATGGATTTCGAGTAGCCGACAGCCACCGCGATCAGCGGCATCCAACGTTGAACCATGGAAGGGCTAGGGTACCCCCTAAACAGCGTGTATTGGGACGACGACTCCCATTTTCACGTGGACCCAGAAGGTCGAATCTGGATCCCAGACGGTGCTGTCGACCTACATCAGCGGATTTATGTGATCGCTCACCAAGGAGCAAGCGGTCACCGTCGCATCGCAGCGACAGCCCGCCTAATTTTCGCGCTAAGTCATTCCAACTTAATTGAGCAATTTTCCACATTGGACTGGCTGGATTTCTGCACATCACTTTCCTCGTTAAAATTTATATTTTTTATCCCAATTGCAATGGTGTAGAAGTTCGAATATCCTACCGTTATTTCTGATTGCTCAAAAAATAGGTTGTTCATTTTCTCCGTCGTGAAAAATTTATTTTTGTACGAAAAATGAATATATTCACGGGGAAATTTTTTTGTGGTCCCTTCGACCTCGTCACATGGATTCTAGCAATGGAGCGCCGACGGCCACCCTGTGAACCGCAGACAGATCCTAGACAAGGCGGCCGCAATGCCACCACCTTATCGTCTAACCGATTTGCTACGCGCCAATGGCTTGGCATGGTTCGTCCAGCATCGAATAAGTGAAGTACAACCTGTAAATATTTATTGCTGTACATATGTAATATATCCCTATAAATTTATAACTGCATATCCCAAAAGCCGAAAATACAACATACTTTAAACCAGTTTAAAATTCGGTTAACCACTGACAAACTTTGTAATTTTTATTGCCCTGATTAAAACTATGGATCCGTACTCGGATGATGGGATAAAGTTTAAACTAGGGAATTCGACACTTGTACGTCGTGGCCATTTGAACTTCACGAGACACTATGGTCGAATGAATGCACGTCAAACAAAATTCGGCTGCTCATTGATCCGTCACCGTCACGTTATCGCAGACAGTGATGTCGGTGAGTCGCATGGCGTCAAGAATACCGGCCACCTACGCGACTTTATGCTGTATTCATACGGGCGCTACGACCACGTGCACCCCGCCGACGAGTCCGTAGGAAGCTATCGCCCCCCAGGTTTGTCCTCGATCGATTATTTGCCGGAACACTTGCGCTTGCTGACGAATAACGATTAAATTGGTGCTGTGGTGACGGTGTCCAACGTGCATATTGAATTTGGGGTCGAATGCGCAACATGCGGGGCAACCAGCAAAGGGGTCCAACGGGGAGGTCGTGGCCAATGGTGCCACGTTGGTAGAAATCGACAAAAAGCTAGACTTTGCATGGAGCTCAACGTTAAGCCCGGCATACCGTTGGCGAAATACGGCTACCTTCAAGGTTGAGGCAGTGGCCCCGTTCTCCACGGCCCCATTTACTCCCCCAATACCCCGGAGGAAAGCCCACAGGTGTGTCCTCTGTCTTGGATGACGGTTCAGTTGGGGGATTTGACTCGTTTTTGAAGGCCATTTTTGTGTCGTGCAACGCACAAAGGGGGGACCTTCAAGCTCCCCCGTCTTGAGCTCCGTCAACAATTTACTCTTCGCGCTGCACAACTTGAACACCGCGGCGTCAGTGAATGGGGGATTCGCGTCATTCAAATTGTTATACTGGTAGGATTTACGCTAGTAAGCTATACTGTACCAGCCCCACGAGATTAATTGTCTGTCCGAAGCCTCAATAATGTCACATAGTTTAATCAAGATAAAAATCTTGGTCAAGATAATATTGCATATTTAAATCAAGATGGATAAAGAGGTCAATATAATCCAGCATACTTTATCAAGATCATATATTCGTCAAAAATGAACGGTCAAGATATACCTTTGAGGGTCTACTCAAAGGTGTGAATTATCTGTTAACGGGATTTTCTCAGTGCAAGACTAATTCAATCATCTGAAACAAACGCGAATGTCTATCATACCGGTAGGCACTCTCTGGCAGGTACAACCTACTATACCTCTAAACAACACGAATGCGTTGGGCGATCAATATTACAGAAAGCCTCGGGTGCAGGGACATTTTTCGCAATTTTTATTTGATTAATATTTTGCCAAGAACTGTGGGTGTAGGGTTACTTGCGGCGGTTTGAATTTATGGCCGTGTTCGGAGAATGTGCTCGCAACGGTAAAGGGATTTTCTTAGTGCAAACTACAGTAACGGGATCAACTCGCTACTCGATTCGATTTGGAACAGTTTCTAATTCGCATTGGAGGCGGCCACTATGACTAAGAGTTCGTCGCACCTTGAACGTTTTCTGCATCTGCGTGGGGGTGCGCGACCCTTCGCAGCTTAGCGGAGGTATTCCTGCTTCTGATATTCGTGAGGGGTTTGGCGCATTGCCCCGGGTTAGCGATAGCAAACCACAGGCGCCAAACCCCTGAAAATGAAAACTGCACTTCGACATATGTTTGTGCTTTTCGGTCAAATTTGCCTATTGATGAAATCGCGAACTAATCGAGCAAAGGAGTATGATTGGCTACAAAGAATGATGGTTGCAATATGATTGGCTAAACGATTGATTGTAGTATTGCAGTCACAAAGATACCTCTTCAACTTAGTTTTATATGAAATTTCGAAGGTCCGGCGATTGTTCGGCGGTTCATTCAACCAACCGCCGGAGGAAATTTTGAGTACAGTTGTCCTCCAAGGTTTGCTCCCTGGTCAAAACCAAATTCCCGTATAAAACAATACCATATAAAATTTCAAGGGTTGATTTGAATTGACACGAGGTTTAAATTTTTGAACATGAGGCTGCATTCACCTCACTTTGACAGGCTTAATTTATGAGGACATTTGAGAATATGCCGCAGTGCAAACAACAAGGAAAGCGACTCTCGATTCACGAGAAGAACTGGTTTCGGGTGTATTATGCATCTCACGTGCCCATTAAGACAACCGCCGTGCAGCAGTGGGTCACGGAACTATTTGGCCACACGCTCCACATCACGACTATTCGCCGAATCCTGAGAGACAAGCGCATACAACTTTCAGGGGCCAAAATACCCTAACTTGGACAAACAAGTTGCCGAGTGGGTGGTCATGGCGAATGCAAAGAATGCATTCGTGACTGGCGAGTTAATCGCGAGGAAGGGGCTCCAAGTCGCCACCGAGCTGAACCTACAAGATCAAGTGAAATGCTTCCATGGGTGGTTGTACCGCCGTTGATGGAGCACCTCCATTCTCTTTACATTAGCTCCGGTCATTCGCTGGAGCAATTGCTTAATTGAGTTTGATGTATAAATCACTGGTTATCCACCAAAACCCCCTCAATTTAAATATTTTGTATCACCTTTATGTCATCAACTTCCTGCAATAGTTTATGTCATTGCATAGGAGCAAACCTTGGGGACAACTGTACTACGTAGTAGAACACACAATAGCTATTTGAACAAACAATAGCTGGTGCCCCGCGATGCTGTGGCCAACGGCACATCCCCTAGACCCCCTCTTTTTCGTCACCACCGTCCTCATCCAAGCCGACGTGTCCAAAGGACATGCCTAGGTGCCGTCGGCTCTGTTGGTCCCATAATCAATTAAAAGATAACCTTGTGCTACTATTTGTTTCCATTCCCAAAACCACATGAGGTGCTGATAGCGCAAGTTGACCACATACTCGGTCGTTCAACGAAAGGCCAGCTACTGTATGATTGTGCTTTGCACCTTTTTTGGCAATTCCAGGGTAACAATAACGCCTAAGAGCATCTCCACCGCATCCCCAAATATTTTCCCCATAACCCAGAACTTCGATTGTTCCGTTACTTCAGGTTGCAGTACGGATATTTTGGGGATTATCCGGGTGATTCTGTCCCCATTTGCCTCCGATATCCCAATAATTTGCACTTTTCGGGATGTGGCAAATGGGGACAAAATCACCCGGATAAGTCCCCAAATTCTGCGTAGTATCCGTAACTACGAGGTACAACTGTAGTAATGATTTTTAGGGATGGCGAG